TTTTTTTTTTAATTGAGTTATAGTCCGTTTACAATGTTGTGTCAGTTTTTGGTGTGCAGCACAAGTCTTTAGTCATACATGAATATACATATATTCATTTCCATATTCTTTTTCACTGTGAGCTACTACAAGATATTGAATATAGTTCCCTGTGCTATACGATATAAACTTGTTTATCTATTTTATGTATAGCTGTCAGTATCTGCAAATCTCGAACTCCCAGTTTATTCCTTCGTACCCCCGTCCCTTCTAGTTTGAGTGCGTGACTATACATGTCACTAGAAACAAAATACTTGTGCTTAAAAATTAATTAAGAAAGACTCTTATGAGCTGAAGAAGGAAGGATGTTTATACTTTTGCAAACACTAGATAAAAACTAGGAATTCAGCATTTTTCCAGTTTGGCAAATAGATCACCTGTAATTATTACAGTTGGAAAAACAATCACGTGTTTTGTTACATTTTGTTACATGTCCCTAAAATAAAAAAATTTCGGAGATGAATTTTCATGATTTAAAAGCAAGTTTGTCAATAAGGCTTAACTCAGGCCCCCTTCTGATAAACATAAACATTGCATTCCATCCCCCATCCACATTCGCCCACAGTCCTAACCCCTGCCCACCCCAGTGTGTCAGAGTTTCCACTACCGAAAGCCTCTCCTTTCTCCACTCCCAAAATTAAGAATCACCAATATAGAGCTATTATCTATATATGGGCCAGCTGAGAAGATTTTATTAGACTTTAATTTTGGTAGTTTGTATTAAGAAAATCATAGATTTGGAGGTAAAGTTCCAAATAGAAATGAAATTAACATTTTAATTTAGGGTCTACTCATACCTACCCTCAGTGTCCTTCCTTCTAGAATGAGAATATATTTCTGTAAGTTACAGGGCAAAATGCAGTATTATATTAAATTTTTTTCAAATAAAATGGAATTCTTAAGTTTTATCCTATGTGATTAAAGTTGGGGAAATGCAGTTTTCTACCACTAGAGGGCAATATTTCATTATTTCTAGGATTGCTTTCTCAGTAATCTCATGCTGCTAAAGATAACGCGTATAAAGATATTTGCGTATATATACATATGCATAAAGAGATATATATATATATATTTGTAGTTGAATTCAGACTGTCTTTGGATCAGCACTGGTGTACCAGGCACTCTGCTAGTGGCTAAGAAGCTCAGAGGCCCACAGAGAGTGTGGTGCTATACAAATGCTATGAATAAAATGCTGTGGGAGGTCAGAGGAAGGAAAAAAATTTACAGGGTATTTTGATAGTCTCAGCTCTTTTTGATTCATCTATTTTTACTCATACATTCTCTTATGTATTACTAGGTAAGGTGTATGGAATTTGTTAGATCCATTTTGTGAAATGATTTTTTTACCATCTCCTAAGCTGATTCCTTAAACATCTTTTCTTCTCATCCCACTGGCTCAGAACAAATTTTATGTGTCTAAATTACAAAAGTGACTTAAGCCTAAAAATAATTTTTAAATGATACTCTTTTGTCAGGTGCCTTGGCTGAAAATGAACACACTTTATTTGAAGTTGGAAGAGGTCTTTAAAATGTACTTTTAAATTTAAAACTTTTTTCTCTTGTTGAAGATGAAGTTCTTCACATAAGCTCAGAGATGTGTTTCATTTGTTTGCACATGCTGCTCATAAGAAGTTTGCAAATAGAACGATACTAG